TTGGATTTTCTTCAGGTGGCTTTTCTTTCAAGAGAAAGGAAAATGGATGCACTGCTTCAAAAAGAGTCAATTGTTCAGCCCAGACACCTCCTCCGGCTTGGCCGGGCCGGGTTGCCGTCGATTCCGACAGAAAATTGTGGGAGGGACCGAAACCCATTTCAATTGTTGGATCCACTAGCTCCATTGGAACACAGGTTTGAGAGATACAAATTATGGTGTGTTTTAAGACCAAGAATTAATAAATATCTTTAACTGGAGTTCGTTAAGTCGGTCTGCACATGCTTGGCTGATCATGGCTGAATATTTTCTTAGCACATGATGGGTTTCCTAAAGTCAACTTTCTGCAATTGAGATCCATTATATTGTTTTCTTATATTGATTATATATTGTATATTTAATGTTCGCTTCTTCAGACATTGGATATAGTTGCTGAAAATCCGGATAAGTTTAAGGTTGTTGATCTTGCCGCTGGTTCAAACGTGACTCTTTTTACCGATCAGGTGATCGATTAGTTGACAACATGAAGAACTCAAGATTTTTTTATTTGTTAAGAATATGTTTAAGTTCTCATACTGTGACCGTCTAATCCAAAAGTAATATTGTCATGGAATCCTGTTAAGAAAATAGCTCAACCGAAGGAAAGTAATCATCAGCTTTACATAACCCAATCCGAATATGAAATCGATTCTTATCTACAATTTACATACAATGAAAGAAATTTTTTACTTACTATTTGCAGAACACTCAACTTTCAGCACACTAAACTTTTGGATTTTATTCAACTACTTTTGCTTTTAAAAAATGATTGAATTAGCTTCAATTTATGGATTTCAATCCGGTGCCTCGTCATGTAGATGAAGATGTTTTGACCTCAATTAGTTTCTGTTCGTGACGAGTTGCTTATCGATGAGCTCAAGGAGGCTCTAGCTGATGTTGAAGAAAAGCTCGAGATCATACCGGGAGAGGAGGAAATCATTGAGGTTAGCTTTCACACATTGTTCAATAGCTTTTAATCGTATACTTACTTATTCTCTGTTGGTTTTATTTAATTATTTATATGCTTTTTTAACATCTGTTGTAACGAACCTCTTATTCCAGGTCGCTCGGCATTCAGATGTTGTTACTGTGGTGACGGGGATTGATGGATGTGCAGGTTTTGAAGGTAAATTATTTATACATTTTTTTCCTATGGCTCATCTTTTCTAGATTATAAATGGATAATCGATGTGGAATCTAATGTTAAAATTTGGCAAATTTAGCCTAGTGTAGCCGCCATAAGCAGGAAAAGACATAGCTTTGGCTAATAAAGAGACATTAATTGCTGGAGGGCCTTTTGTTCTTCCTCTTGCACACAAGCACAAAGTTAAGATTCTTCCGGCAGATTCCGAACATTCAGCTATATATCAGGTACGTCGAAATTCTAATAAGGGTCCTCCGTATGGTTTAGCAGAAAAGTAATAAATGATTAGCAAATTATTTTGTATTGTGAAAAAAATGTTCTTTTTATATCGTGTATTTTGTATATGTTTTAGTGCATACAAGGCTTGCCCGAAGGTGCTTTGAGGCGCATAATTTTGACGACATCAGGAGGAGCATTCCGGTTAGGCAATTTTTTAAGGAAGAATTTATTTTATTTATTTATTTTTATTTTTTTTTTGGAATTTGGAATTTTCATATGGATATAAAAGTTAGATGGGTTTACTGATTTTTCCCAAGTCCAATTACGTGTTGTTAATTCTTTATACAAAATTGAACTGCATCTAGCAACTTTTTTTTTCCTCTTTTGGGAAACAGAATTGAATCTTTCTTATATTATAAGCACTCTGTTTATTTCCTTTGTAATATTTATGAAAAAATTTTGTTAAATCAAAGTATGTATGATTAGATAGAGATTTGTCGGTTGATAAGTTGAATGATGTGAAAGTAGCAAATGCTTTAAAGCATCCCAATTGGAATATGGTGAAAAAGATTACGGTCGACTCTCCCACACTCTTTACAAGGTAACTCCGAAATTAATTGCATATTAAATGATCAAAGTTTCTTTCTTTCTTTTTTCTTTTTTTGGTTTTAATGTGGGTAATTCATGTGGCCTTGATAGGGTTTAGAAGTCTTTTAGTTTGTATGATTCTTATGGCTTGAATCCAATTTATCTTATATGCACATATGCACACAGGATCTATGGTGGAATCCTGTAGTAAGGGAGCAAGCAATAATGAGAATTCACCGGATTGGCCAGAAGAGGATTGTCCATGTAAGAAGATTCATTCTCAAGGTGATTTTTATATTCATACATCAGCTTTTCTCTTTCAAAAATAAAATTATTTATGACACCCAACCGCTCGGGTCGGAGTTAATAGAATTGTAAGTTTGGGTGGCCTTTGGCCTGAAGATTACGTTTCTATATATCTGGCTTCCCACCATATGCTCCGACGCTTCGGCCAATGTGCCTGGGGAGCAGCTGAGATTCGAGGTCAGCAACATGCAGATGTGGATGAGCCTCCTGAATCAACAAGGATGCGTGCACCGACTGGTTCGGGCGACTGCCCAACGATGGAGGACGTGTGCGACCAGCCTCTTAGGGTAAGGGAGGTGACGAGCAATGTGCTGGAGCCAGAAAAAAGGTGTGAAATTTTTTAGATCCAATGTTCGATCCTTCAAACCTATTTCAATTATGTTTTGCGCAACGAGCTTTTTTGTGATAGCATTATCAAACTTTTTTTTATTACACTGTGATAGTAAAAACTTATTTGTAATCATTTTGTCAAGCTTTAGAGAGCTCATGTTTGTTGTGATGAAATTTGAAGACTTAATGTGTACTCAGCTGAAGATTTCATACTTTGTTGAAATTTATTCCAAAACTTCATTTGTATCAAATTTAGTAACAATGTTTAAAAATATATATAAATTAGGCTTATCATTTCAAGAGACGACAAATTTTCATTATATTTTAGAACAAAATATGACCTGTGCAACAAGTGATGACAAATTTTCAGTGTATTTTGGTTATTATTATATCGTACATTACTTCACACTTCTTAACCAAAAAAAACAACAAAACAAGTCAAAAAATTTTCACTATATTTTTAAATGTCACTTGTAACAATTATTTTTGATTTACAAAATGATTATACAACCTCTATGTAATATGATTGTAGGTTAATTAAAGAATCAACTAAATAGTACATCTCCGTCATTAACCCTTAAGTATATAAAAAATTTCTAATCAATGATCAAGGACCAATGTACGTTCATTCCCAATTCTAAAATTCAATTTTCAGCATAAAAACATAAACAAACAACACACGTAACACATAGAATGTTTATGAATCAATAGACAAAATCGTAAGCAGATAACTTCGACCACGATTTCAGTTTGGGGATGCATGCGCATATATACGGATTTAAACAACTTCACAACTCATAAACCACTAGCGAAATTCAAGAGAGCAAAATCTTAAGACATTTCCATGAAAAAAAAAAGACACAATATATGTGAACAAATGCAACATATG